AGCTGTGACCATTGTGGGGGGCTGGATGTGGGAGCTGGGGCCACTATTTTTAGTTCAGCACACCACCTATATTGGCATTGGCCTTGGGCAAATTGTATGGCCTGAGTGACCTCACCAACCTCTCAGGAATGGGAGCACAGCGACAGTCCCTGTCACCTCCTAGGGACAGTGCAAGGAATAGTCAATTAGGAGCATAACTGAACCCGGTAGGAAAGTTGAAGTTTAGGCAGGACAATGGAAACAGGTTCTATTTCTAGAGATCCCCCCGCCCCCTGAAGATTTATGTTCATACATGTGTTCTTTGACAGTTATCTGTTATGAGACGGGCACTAAGTTAGACTCTGGGGATTCTGTGGTGAACACCACAGACAGGGTCCCTACTTCCTTAAAGTTTATAATCTCATGAGGGTGTAGAACATAAGCAAGTTAGCAAGCAAAGAGATATGTAATCCAGCCATGATCCGAGGCCAGGAAGGAGGTACCTAGTACGGGGAGAGAGAATAAGGTAGCTGTCTGCTCGAAAGTGCTCAGGAAAGCCAGCCACATTCCATAAGAAATCATTCACCCGTTACCTCTGGGAGAGGCACAGGCGTGGCCAGCACGTGGGAGCCAGTGTCACTTTCCACTGTGTCCTTCTCTCCTCTGGGTTTTGCTTAGCATAATTCTGTATTGCTTGTGCACTTAAAATACTAGTTATACAGGAAAATCAGTGTCTGATAAATCATAATCTCAGCTGTTTGTTTCTTTGTTGTCTGCAAGGAACTGTGAAAAGAGTCATCCAACCTTATGTTAGGTATAGATGTATTTGTGGAAACATCTCTGTTTCCATTTTGGGGTGAGTGAGAAAAGGCCAAGCAGATTGGGCAGCACTCCTGAGTCTGGGCGCCCCAGGAGCAGCCGGCTGTCCCCACTTCTGCAGGGAATGACCTGCGGTGTTGACTTTCCACCCCAAGAGAAACAAGTCCATCTGTGTTTGAGGCTGCCAGGAAGATATCAAAGTCCATCTGCTTACCCTTGAGAAATGGCAGCCAATGAATTACTTCTAATTAAAGAGACAGTGTTAAGAGGATTAAAATAGATGATTCACAGAGTACCAAACCTGTGGAAATTAAAAAGAGGCAAGGGGAGAATGGAAAAGCTGTAAAACTGGGTGAGAAACAAGAGGAAGCCCATTAACAAGAGCCAGTGGTGGTAAGACTCACAAAACAAGAATTTTAGAAGTGGGAGAAGGATTGACTTAGCAGGCAGCAAAGAACGCTAAAGGTGCCAAACAGGTTTCTGTCATCATTGAGTTCGGAACCGTAAGATTTTTTTAAAGGCAGTAATTGCAATAAGGACACTTTCTGTTCATTTTCCCTGTCATTGAATAAAGAGAGTGGGTTAAATTAAAAGGTTTGGCTGGTTGAAAGCCACATCAGAAGGGAAAACCTGTATGTTTTTAAAAAACTCATAAACCCTGAGGAACAAAATGGTATAATTGTCTTGTGTGTCTACACTGCTCTTTTCTCATCGAAGGGCAAAGCAACTCCTTGGAACTTCTATAGAAAAGCATCGTGGTTCTCCTTCTCATCTTCTTTCTCCCTTTCACTTGGGCTTGAAACCTGAGGTTTCCCAGTTATAATTATAGTGCAGTGACCCTGACCCCTTGAATATCGGAGCTGCTGTGCAAGGGATGGCCTCCTCCCCACTGATGCCTCAGACTTAAAGCTTCTCTTTTATAAAATGCTTCCAAGCAAACACTGTTGCTCTGATTGTTTACTTTTCTAAATGTAATAGAATTTAATTATTGGAAAATGGATTTGCTTGGGGCATGAAAACTATGCCCATCACTGGAAGAGAGAACTATAGTCTGTCCTTTATCCACCTGCATGTCTTCAAGGTTTATTATTAGTGACGTTGTTTAAAAGAAGTAGCAATAGCTATGGTTTCCGAAGAATTCGAGTTTTCTCTGTAAATTTGGTATGCGGGACTGACATCATTTTGTGAGTGGGATTAACGTTAACGGCTATCACTGGGGTGAGTTGCCTTCCTGCAGAGGCTCCCAGGGGGCAGGACGTTGCTTTCAAACAGGTCATTCTTGGGCACACTGGGAAGAAGTGGGTCACCCTATCAATGCTGAGTGACACGCTCATTATCTCGGTAAAATTGAAGAAGCTGGCATTATTTCCCCAATTTAAGGGAAGGGGGCTGAGATTCAGAAGTCAAAGCAACAGGTCTTGTGCCAGCAAACAGGTGGGTGGCCGAGCCTTGGGCCAAGTCTAGGTCTATCCGGCCCCCGAATTGTTCTGGTGATACACAGGACTAAGAAATTGCCCCCTTGCACTTGGGATGCTCACCATACACATTCTGTGGCTGTTTCTGAGAATGCCTGTTTTATAGCCTTTTATGCTTTGCTCAGACAGGTTGCAAAATTAAGAATCAACCAACTACTGGATATTTGCTTAGGTTTTTAAGCGTAGAAAAACAGACCGAAATATAGGGAAGCACATTTGCTGTGTATAATCTTTAATAGCCATTTGTGAAAGCTTGCCAATAACTCTAACTCTAAGGAAAGCATTTAGGCAGCTTGGAAATTTTCCATTTCCATTCCGGAAAGCTCTCTCACTCCCCCCTCCCCTGCACCCTGCCCCAGTGAAGGGGCCGTCAACCTGGCCCCATTCAATAGGGCCTCTGTGTCTCTCCTCCATCCCGAGCCTCAAAGGTTGTATGCAAAGCACCTGAAATCAGATGGAATTAGCTTCACAACTGCCACACTTTTCTTTAGGAAATAAGATTTGGTTGTGGGACGTTATGAGTTCTCTGCTTTTAGGGAAAACTAACCCCATCAACATCACTGCTAACCCTGGTGCCAGTTTGGGCTTGGAAGAGCTGAGTGTCAGACTGATGGCTTAGCACTGACTACAGGTTGTTAAAGCGAGGGGACAAGGACAAACATGGTGTGCTGTGCGTTCATTCATCTCTTTACTCAGCCATAGTTAAACTGAGAGCCTGCTGTGTCTCAGACAGTGCTAGGCACTGGCGGGAACATGAAGAGGAAATCCTATGTCATGGAGTCAATGAACGAAGCTAAAATTGCATATATTCAAAATTATTTTAAACATCTCTTAAATTACCTAGAGAGCATTACCTTAGATCAGGTTCCTTAGAGGCAGATCCTGCATCAGGATTCTCATACAAGTGAGTGAGTGAAAGAGTCTTAGGTGAAACCCACAAAGAGTGGGCGGGGCTGGGTGGAGCAGAGGGCCAAGCGGCAAACATGTCAGCCCAGCTGAACAGCTGTAGTAAGGCTGCAGCCTGCTCCAAGGGAACTCCGGAGCATGAGTGGCGCCCTAGATTTATACCCCTTGAGACAAAAGGGCCAGCCTTGTATGTCCCCTACAATCAGGTATTGGCATTGGGCTGTCTCCAGGAATTAGGATGTAACCTCTTGGGCGTCTCTGGCAAAGTGACTCCAATCAAGTGAAGATAATTCTCAGAAGAAGGGTGCTGCTGTGAGCAGTTAGCAACTCCCAGCAGCTGGGGAATGGATGCACCAGCCAAGTAAAGGAAATTGTGAGGGGTATCACCAACAGCTACTACACAGCGCTTGTGTGACATGAGAGAAGCCTACATGTCATCTGTTGATAAAGACAACAGAGCAATTTCTTTTTCTTCAGTGGGGTGACAGCCCACCATTTCTTTGGACGCACTATGGAGGAAGGAGTTGCCTTATGTTCTCGGGCTGCATTATATTAAAAATATGCACTTGTCATCAGTAGGCTCACACCCAGCATGAGGAGATACTCATGCCCTGGGGGCTGCTCCAGTAGACCAGCGACTGGGTGCGTTTCCCAGGGAGCAGACCCTGGGATCTCATTAGGTGGGGTGTTCACTGAAAGTGCCCTGTCACCACCTGTGGGGGGGGGGGGCCTGGAAGCAGAGCCAGCAGATGGGGAGGCTGAGCCACAGTCCAGGCCTGACTACCGCCTTGGCTGACCACATTCCACACAGAGCTCTGAAGGTAAATGTCCTGCTTTGGGCCAAATAGCCAGGCTTTGTACCCCTGCATTTACCACCCCTCATTGGGCCACCCTGGGAAGGTCAAGGCCCTGGGTGAGGTGGCTCTCTGCAGCTGAAGCCACAAGGAAGGGACAGCTGGAGGCTCTTTGCTGACTGCACCTCCATTGGCTGGGCGGCAGGTCCCTTCTCGAATGGGGGTTGGTGGCACATTTCTGTCCAGCCACAGTGGGGACCACTCCCAGGGCACATCTGACTCACACCAAGCATGTGGTCATTGGGTGGAAGGGGCACAGAATCAGTCCTCACTAGTTAAAGCTGCTTCCACTTGGGGGAGTCTAGGGGGGGGTTGAGGACATATGACTGAAGAACCTAATATGAATCCTGGAATTTTATCCTTGGTGTACCTTCACTGAGGAGTGGATACTCTATTCCATTTTTCACTCGTTATACTTACTAAGTCTTTTTTTTTTTCATTTTTATTTAGTGACAGGGATTGCACTAAGTACCTTACATGCATTACCTTATTTAATCCTTAAATAATAACATTATGGAGAAAGTACTATTATTACTCCCCATGTTACAGAAGCGGAAACTGAAGGTTGGAGAGGTTCAAAAAAATTTGCCCATAGTGTTATGTAGTCAGTGTCTAAACCAAAGTCTGACTCCGAAGATCAAAAACCCTTAACTATTTTACTGAAACCAACTGTGAAATCTTTCACGTTACTCTTTGATGAACCTTAGCTTATTCATTCATTCATTCATTCATTTGACAAAACTTTACTGAGCATGCCTTATGCCAGGCTGTGTGCTGGGCTTGGTTTTTGGTATTAGAGATTCAACAGAGAAGCCCGTGAAAAGCAGCTAGGGTGCATGTGTTCTCCCAAGTCATTTGTCCTGCCTGCATGCATGCATGTGTGTAACAATCTCAAGAGACTGATGCAAATGTGAAGACCTTTGAATCTCTTCTAGTAACTAATTCACCGTGTTAAATTTTTTAACAGACTAAAAGAGATACTAAGCGAATGCCTGCGAAAGAAGTGACCATTAATGTTACAGGCAGCATCCAACAGGTGGACAGAAGTCGAAGAATCACAAAGAACTGCGTTAACTAGCTGAGCGTCTAACTAGAAGGGCAGATGGACGTCTTTGGTGCCCCTCACATACGGGGCCCCCCCAAGGAACCTTGAAGAAGCGTGTGCCCCTTGCCGAGCGTGAGTGGGGCTGAGTGCCTTGAGAGACTGACTGTCTTACCCAGCAGCCAACAGCTGCCTGCGCTGCTGGGACATTCTCAGCCTCCTGTTTTTCACATAAATGTATTGACACAATACTCACCTATGGTAATAAACTGAAAAGAGCTATTCAGTTTGCCTCTCTGCAATGTCGGCACTTAGGTCTGACATAGGAGTGCTGAGCTGAAGCCACAGGCCAGTTTATGGTGCAGAGAAGGTAGCAGAGGTGGATTCTGGGGGTGAAAGGGTCATGCGTTAGCTCTGTGCTCTCCTGGCCACGGTGGTGTGTGCAGTTCCAGGCCAGCTTGTTCTTCCATCCTTTCTTTTTGAATGCCGCCACCACAATGCGAGCTGTGTTCGCTCACAAGTTGGCTCTCACCCAACTTTAAACCCAGATACAGCAGAAATCAAGAAGCAGGAAAACTCCCTGTTACTCTTGTTTCCTGAGCTCAGACTAACCTTGCCAACGCCCACAGCATGTCTTTGGGAGGTCTCTGGGATGCAGTCACACCCATTCCGCCCCTTCCCACGCCCCCACCCCATGCTGGCATCCATGTTGGCCACTGAGCCATAAAACCACGGTTGTTGCGGTCAGTGCGTCCAATCAGGGACGCCCCCAATGGCTCAGCCAGACATTGCATTTTTTATAGCTTTCCAGTTCCCTTTGCTTGCGTTCTTGAGTATTTTCTCTCTCTGATCAGGTCAGTTGCAATTATTACTCAAAGAGTGGACACTGCTCACAAGAGGGAGAGAAATTCAGAACATGCTGGCTGCACACACGGCTTCCCTTACCCTCTCTGGGCGCAGCTCCAGGACGATGCCATTTTGGCACCTGCAAAGGAATCGCTTTGGAGAGTCAGTGCCTGGCGGATGTGCATTCACACTGACGTTAGATCGACACGCACTGTGTTGGGAGTCAGGAAGTTGATGCAGCAAAAAATCCCCCAGCCATATGTTTTAATAAAAATAAATTTTTCTAGCATTTCTTTAAACATGGTTAAGTGGAAGTATTTTCCTCCAAAGTAATTAATGTAGCATGGGCTTGGGAAAGGAAGGACAAAAGTTGTACCAAATGATACCAATAAACTTGTGTGTAGCTGAAACAGGCAGCCTGATGGTGTGTGCTTATACACGCAGTCCAGAGAACTGACAGCAGCAGGCCACGGCCCAGATACCCCGTCTCCTCGCCTGCCAACCCCCTTGTTCCTCCAACACAAGTAGGCAGTGTCCCTTCCTCGCTTCCTCTCTCCCTCCCTCCCTTCCTTCTTTCCTTCCTGCCTTCCTTCAGGAGATTGTTTATTCATAAAACGTTGAATGCCAACCCTGTGTCAGGCCCCATGTGGATGCTGAGAGATTTGGAGTCTGGCTAGTCACCATTGTATGTCCTGAATCCCATGGTGGACTTCATGACGAGGAGGGTGACTGAGACACTGTGCTGTGCATTGCCCTGCAGGGTGATCTCACTTTTATATTCGGGGCAGATTTCTGCCTTAACTTCTGAGTTTCCTCTGAATCACTGTACAAGACTTTTACCATACACAAAACTACAGTTTTCCCAACCCTCTATCATCTGATTCTTTGAGAAAGGGCTTTTTAGGAATTTTGTTTTGAACTTTTAAATAATAATAAAATAAAAGCAAAACCTGTGACTCCTATGCCCCCAGTGGCATTATTTAGCAGGAGCCTGAACTGCCAAAGTCGGCGTTGCTCCTGCAAGGTCAAGGGCTCACTCTCCCAGGGTGCATGCGTGGGTTTTTGTGTAGGGCGGTTCCTTCGCTGCTCACGGCTGTCAGCCACTGGCTAAGCCTCATTTCTTTTTACAGCTTTGTTTTCCGTCACTTAGCTGCCACATGTTGTTCGGAATTTATTGACTTGAAAGGATGTCTCTGTTTTATTGGGTTGGCCAAAAAGTCCGTATGGTTTTTGCCATAAAACAAAAGACATATTTTTTTCATGTTCACCAATAACTTTATTGATTTGGGTATTTTGAGTATGCTGGCTATCTTCTGTGTGGTATCACATTAAGTGTTCTCAATTAATGTCTCAATTTGATCACTGTCAACTTCAGCTGGTCACCCCACCACAGAGCATCATCCAGCAAGAAATCTCCAGCAGGAAACTACGCAAACTGCTTTTGACATGATGGATCAGTCACAGCACCTTCTCCATACACTGCACAAATCTTTCTTTGCATTTTAATTGCATATCTACCTTTCTTGAAATAATAAAGGATAACATGCCAAAAATGTTATGTATTTTCTTCCATCTTCAATATTAAAATGGCTACGCAGAAATTAATCAAACTTTGATTTTTTTTTACATGCAACACTGATATGGCAGCTGTCACAATACAATCTAACAACATTGTTTTCGATGAAATTAAAGTCAACTAAGCGCTACTAGAGCCATCTTAGGGGAAAACCAAACGACCTTTTTGGCCAACCCAGTACATAGAAACAGTTTCTCACTTCCGGGGAGAAGGGAATAAAGGGCGTGTGAGATCTGCACCTCTGCAGAACAACCCGGGTTTCACCGAGACAGCGACCAGAAGCTCAACGATGTTACCGGAAATGCATCTAGCAAATTTTCATGGGTAGATGGTATAGGAATTAATTCTTACTTTCTTGTTAGCATAACACTTTCTATTGCAAGGTTTATGTCAATAAAGTTCTCAATTTCAAACATACGGACAGTTACAACGAATCTTTACTAGGACCTTAAATTTGTATGCAGAGCTGCTTCGATGTTTTTCTCTTTTAAGCAAAGACCTTTCACATAAGAGACCCTATGTGTTCTCCAAAAAAGGTAAGGAGAACACTATTAGCACCAAGTTATAGTCATAAAAGTATTATATTTGTAGTTTACTCAACCAGCAAGGGATGGCACTGCGATTCAATCGAGAGAACTTGGTCTGCAAGTCCAGTGCTTTTCCCCCAGGTCACACGGTGCTCTTCCCGGCAAGGACGTCTAGCATGGCTGGGAGATGCAGCCACTCAGAGGGGGATTGTCCTGGAGCCTGAGACAACACTGAGCCCTAGTCTAAGAAGGTGGTGTCAGTAACTAGAAAGGGCCAATGAGCTCTTGGGGGGTTTGGGTGTGGCTCATTCCCCCAGAGGGATGACTGACCTGTGGCAGGACACCTTTGGTGAAGGTCATAAAGAAGAAAGACCCCTACACAATTCAGAAGAGATTGAAGTTGCATCCCTCAGAGCTGCTGCCAAGGCCTAAAGGCGAGGGGATTCATGGCAGCCAGGACCTCCCCATTCTGCCAGCACCCCATGCACTTCTTAGATGCACAGGAGAAGGACTCTATCCTCACCCTTTTCCTGCTGCCCCACCCCCAACTTCCCAGGGTCCCTGAACTGTTTGCCCTTCCTGTCTGAGCCCTGCTAACCTTGCCTGTGTATGACCCTCACTAGCTGCACTCACTGGCTGCCCACATGCTGCAGAAATGAACCCCATCTAAGTTTGCCCTTGCAAGCAGGGTTCACAAAACTCCATTCTGCTAAACCAGATGGCAGACATGCTTTATTTGGCTGTAGTGGTGTTAAAACTTCAGAGATGTACAGATAAAGATGCTCTGGCAGAGACTCCTATTTTATAACTCCATTCTCCCCTTCTTCCTTAGCTGGGCACATGCCCACTTAGAATAAAGAATATACTTCTCAGCTTCCACCGCAGCTAGGAGTGGCTACATGACTAAGCTTGGGCCAGCGAAATGAAATGAATGAGGCATAATAGAATGATCAGGCCCTTTCTTTTTATTTTTTCCCTCCAATTCCTGGAATAAGGAGGCAATGGCTGGATCCACAGCAGCCCACTAGGCCATGAGGTGACTTTTGGAATGGAAGACATGCCATGCTGAGATACAAATTAGAAGAAGTCTGGGTCCCTGATTCCACTGAGTCCCTACAAACCCAGGACTGTACACCACAGGCATCTTCTTGAGAAAGAGAAATACACTTTGACTTTATTTAAGCTGATTCATTACTCATCGCTAAACCTAATTCTAATAGATATATAAACTTTCTACCTTCTTTTCAAAACTTAGAGCACCTTTCATGCGCCTGCATGTTGCCACTCACATGCAGTCAGCTGGAGCTGATAAAGCTGCATCCGCTGAAGCTGGGGGGTCTCCAGGTTGTGAGATCCCCCAATCATTTTGGCTTACATGATGCAGCCTCCCCATTCCTGTTCCCTGCTTGAGCCCTGAGACCTTTGTGTTTGTAAGCCCTGATCCCGACTGTTCCTGATATATCGTTTTCATGTTCTTTTCAAGAATCTTTTCCACTGGTCTAGGAAGTCAGTCTCAGGAGAACCTCTGAGCTAGCAAATTTCAGATATAACTTAATATGTAAAACAACGTATCGGCACCCTGTTTCATTTACCCCATGTGTGTTTCTCAAGAGGCTTCAGTGTGTCGGCAGTTGGGATAACGGGAGGAGTGAAAGAGACTCCCTGCCCTCAGGGAGTTGGCGTCCTCTGGAGGAGGCAGGCGCAACATGGAGATGTAAATTACAACAACATAAGATGGAGAAGCTCAAAACAATGTTAACAGACCATTGGGCTACAGGGAGACCATTCAGGAAGCTGCCACAGTGGCACTGGAGACAGATGGTAGTGACCAGGAACAGGGTTAGTGATGGGTGTGAAGATGGATAAACGTGGGCGGGTGCTGAGTACAGTTTGGAAATGGAAACATTAATTTAGTTTGTTGATAGATCAGGTGTGGAAAGTGAAGAGAAGGGAGAAATCAGTGGGATTTCTACATTTTTGGTTTGATCAAGAGGGTTCTTGGTAAGACAGGGTGAGATGGGGTAAGAGAAGGTGTTTTTGGTGGGGAGGGTGGTCCACCCAGCTGGGCTATATATAGTTCCCAGTTTCCCTTGCAGTGAGTTCCTAAACTATTTCACCAATATTTAATTCTCCTTAAGTCACTCCATATTGTTTCCAGAGCCTCCCTGTACCTCCGCCCCCCAATAGAAGAGCATAAAGCCAGAATCAGGAGGAACGTATACGTAATTCTCTTGGGAATATGGAACTACTGGAAGATTCTGACATGATCAGACAGCAGATCACGCAGCAAAAAGCTAAGTCTGGACACTCGTGGCCACAGCGAGCTCTGCAGCTTCAGTTCCTGGCTGGGCCTTCTCCGGCAGAACGCCACTTACAAGGGGAAGGGGGACTCTTCCCCTTTCTGATCCAAATAGCCCTTTTCGTAACATTGCCATGTGCCAGGGAGATAGCCGAAGATTTCTGTTTGCCTTTTTAATTACATGTCATTATCCAGAGGATATTTCCTTCTGTTCCTAGATAAGCTGGCGGTGGGGTGGCCTATGAAACAGGAGGTGGCAGCCAGCCAGCCAGGACAAGCGGAGAACACAGGCTTCAGGCGGAGGGGACTAGTTCTAACCTGGCCTCTCATAGCTGTGTGCCCCGGGGCAAACGGAGGGGCCTCTCTGAGGCTCACTTCCTGCCGGTGGAAATAGCAGCATTTTTTTTTTTTGAGAGGGGGTTGTGAGGATTAAGCTGGATAACGAATGTAGATCACATGGTGCCTGCCATCATAATGATAATTACGGCCCTGAGCCAGGTCCAGTACTAGGAGCTTCACACGTTCTCTCTACTCAGTAAAGCAGTCCTGCCAGGCGAGCCTTGCCGGGTCCCCTCTACAGATGCGGAAACTGAGACTCCAAGGCCCAAGGCCACACAGCTATTAGAGGGCAGAGCTGGGATTTGAGTCCATGTCTGCCTGTCTATAAAAACCCCTGCTCTAAGTGATCAGTAAATGTGCATTTCCTTCCTGTCACAATGGGTAGCGATTGATTTCACAGCTCTTTTTATAGCATCATGTCTCAGCACTTCCCAGTCATCAATGCTCATGTCAGGATCAGTGACAGCAGCCTCAATACAAATCTGCCAGAGTTCGCCTTTGTTTCTTTTAACTTTTCCCCTTAACAACCAAAAAGGCAAGAGCTATCTTCTGAATCGTGCCACAATAGTAAAATCCTTTAGAGGGTAATATTGATAAAATATTGAGTCTTTCTGGGATGTATTGCAAACCTAAGTATTAAGTAATTTAGTAACAGTAATCTGAGTGATTAAGCAGTGATTACCAGAGTGATCACTCTTCCCTCCATGTAATAGGAAAATGAAGACCTGGGCTGGCTGGGTCCCCAAGGAGGAAGGACATGTCAGTGCCGGGGGCAGCACCATGTCTCGCACGCAGTGACCTCTCAGCCACTGCTTGTAGAAAGGAACAAAATGGAATAGAATTGTTTTCTGGTTAAAGACAATTAGCAGCTGGAATACCTGTGATTGACTGGCACGACGGTTTGCAATATGGCCACACACTGGAATCACCTGGGGAGCTATCGCAGCTATTCCTGCTTGGGGCCCCGCCCCAGAGATGCCGGCTTGATTGGTCCAGGGTGCAGCCTGGTCATCAAGATGTTTCAAAACTGCTCGGAGGATCTAGTGCGCCTCCAGGGTTGAGAACCAGCGGGCTTAGCAGGTCACCAGAATCGGTGCCTCTGAAACTCTACGATGGGGTCCTGAATCGGATTCCCTGGGCTTGAATCCCAGTTTCACCACTTATTGGCTCTATGGCCTTTGGCAGTTCATTTAACCTCACCATGCTCCTGTTTGCTGATGGCACCTCATGGTAGCGGGAAGGTTTGGTAGGGGTGTGCATGTAAAGCACTTAGCACAGTGCCCAGCGTGTGATTTCACACATGAAGTTATTTGTTGTTGTTGAACTGTGATCCGGCCCCGAAATTTTCAGGACACAGGCAAGGCCTGGAGCATACAATTCAGCTCTTTCCAGGTCTCACAGGCTAAGGGTTCAGCCCCACCCCCACCCCCACTCCCACTTCAGACACCAATTTCAACTTCAGGTTGTTACCTGTGTGGTTCTGACTGAAAGGTTATGGATCAGAGGTTCAAACACCCTTATTTGGGTTCCATTCATTGGCTAGAGCACCTCACAGAGCTCAGGGAAACATTCTGCTTACTGGATTGCTGGTTTATTATAAAAGGATGTAATTCAAAAATAGCCGGGTAGAAGATACGTAACGGGCTAGGTATGGGGGCAAGGACACGGAGCTTGTTGTCCTCTCAGGGGTACTACTGTCCCCACACCTCCGCGTGTTCGTCGGCAGGGAAGCTCTCCAAACCCTAGTTTTAGGGAGGCTTCATTGCACCGGCAAGATGGATCAGATCGTTGGCCATTAGTGATTAAACTCAACTTCCAGGCCCTCCCTCCTGCTAGGAGGTCATTAGGTGGAACCAGAAACTTTTAACCCCCTAATCACAGGGTCGGTTTCCCTGGAAACCAGCCCCCAACCTCAGGTTACCTGGGGACTTTCTGGCACCTCATTAGCTTAATATGAAACCCTTTTAACCCCTGCTGTCATCTCTTAGGAAATGCCAAGGGTTTCAGGAGCCAAGAATCTGACAAAGACCAAAGGCCTATTTCTCATTCTAAGCCACAATATCACACTGGCAGTACATGACATTTAAGTTCATGGAGCTACTGGAGCTCGTCTCAGGAGAGACTGCATGAAGAGTCCTTTCCCTCACTCTAAGGATGAAAAAACTGCTCAGAAAAACCTGTGTCCCCAGTTTTCACGGCCGGTCAGCAGTAG